TGATTACTCAGCTTTGTAAAGTTTGATACAAGGTCAGATGAGAGCAGAAAGATTGTGTTGCATCAACCCTGTCTGACAAATTCCAGTTTTTGAAAATCGACATTCTAAAAGTTCTTCTGTTCATTTCGGCTAAATCACCGATAAGTATTTCCAATGTAAAATAAGTTCATCATCAAACACACAAATATATATATATATATATATATATATATATATATATATATATATAGCCACTGAATGAAATATTGATGATAGTATTTATAAATTCCATAAGCAGCAAACATTCCTCCCAATTAAAAACCACAAAGTTAATTTCCGAAACAACTCGCCATACCAATTTCTCAAACCAGCTAAAATAATATCAGTAAAATTAGTAAAAGTGTCGTTGAAAGAGTATGCAAATATAAAACAATAGGAGCCATAGAATAAAAGGATGTAAATATTAAACAATAGGAGCCATAGAATAAAAGGATGCAAATATAAAACACTAGGAGCCATAGAATAAAAGAATGCAAATATAAAACAGTAGGAGCCATAGAATAAAAGGATGCAAATATAAAACACTAGGACCCATAGAATAAAAGAATGCAAATATAAAACACTAGGAGCCATAGAATAAAAGGATGCAGATATAAAACAGTAGGAGCCATAGAATAAGTGCATGCAAATATAAAACACTAGGAGCCATAGAATAAAAGGATGCAGATATAAAACAGTAGGAGCCATAGAATAAGAGCATGCAAATATAAAACACGAGGAGCCATAGAATAAAATAATGCAAATATAAAACAGTAGGGCCATAGAATAAAAGAATGCAAATATAAAACATTAGGAGCCATAGAATAAAAGAATGCAAATATAAAACACTAGGAGCCATAGAATAATTTATCAATATAAAAAGGAAGAATGTCCATTTATCCAATTCGATATTTGTGATTATTACCCGTTCATCACCGAGAATCTGCTAATGCCTGCCATCAATTTATTTAACGATTACTGTCCTATTAACAGTTAAAATCATAAAGCAGGCGCATAAATGGATACTATTTCATAATGTTTATCCGTAGACTGAAAGAAATAACACAGATTTTAACAGTACTATGGGTGCATTTGATTCTACTGAGGCATACGATCTTGTTGGGATTTGGTTATTGTAGCGATTAAGATTTATTTTCGACATTAAGGACATCAGACGTTATAGAGATGGCGGTGTAATTCCCCTCCGCTCAAGAAACATTCACCGATCGAGAAATGATCAGATAAAAACTTGAAAATTACGAGCTCAAAAATTACCACAACCAACAATGCAAAAGTGATAAAATTTCTCGATGTGATCTTAGACTTGTGTACCGCATACCAAATAGCCATAAATAGGTTAATAAGTCCATCCATCCATCCATCCAAGTCCGTCCAAGTTAGATTATCTACTAACTCCAGCAATAAGTTTGCTGGAGTTAGCAATAAATTTGATACTAATAATTCAATAAATTTGATAATAATAAAATTAAATGGTTTGGTTTAATTTGATTTGGCATATCAACCTCAGTGGGTTATTTAATGTCGACAATTTTCATTGCTGGTAGTATATTTCCTTCAAAAATGTATTTCTGGTAATATTTTTCTTCAAAAATGTATCGATGGTATATTTTTTTCAAAAATGTATTGCTGGTAATAATTTTTTTACAAAGTATTTCTTTTTATTAACACCTATTGTTGAACTTTCATAGTGTTTTGATACCAGTTTGGGGGGTTAACTATTTTCCCATAGCTGGGACCCTAACATGTGCTACCACCCCGGGTCAGGGTGGACCTGGAAACACCAGCAATTAAGAGGCGGTTCCACGCTCCTCAAAACCACCTGATTAGAGTCCTTAACTGCTAGACGTAGTTTATTGTCTTACCCAGGACGGAAAATTAAATGTATAAAAGCATTAGAACTAAGCAATATAAAGTAAATTTAGAATATTTAGAAAATAAACAAACAAAAAAAAACAAAAAAAGGAAAGAATAAACAGAGATACGGTAATGTGTTATGGTTTAACCCCCACCTCCACCACCACCACCTTATAATCGTAATGTTCAAATGAATATTGGAAGAATTTTTAAAATTTAATTCATAAACACTTTATTCCCTCTGTAATATTAAAGAAGATTTTTACCAAAAATAATGTAAAGATCAGCTATAGCTGCGTTAAAAACCATCGAAAAATAGATATCTCAACATTATACTAAGTAAATATATGTCCAAAAAAGACAACTTTAAACATTTTAAAAAATAAATGCATTTGCCGAAAAAAATACGATCTGTCCCTTAAACGGTCAATGTATGACTGATAATATTGTATACTGAGCTAGCATACATTCCGGTAACTATGTCAAATTTTATTTCGGTTCCACTGAAAATCTTTGGAAATTTTTTTTTATTATCAGCAAATGACTTTAGACAATGTAATGTCTAATTAGGCTGCTCACTGGAAACATTTCTGGCAAATAAAGAATGGTGATAATACACCCATTATTACGTGGGTATTGTAGCAAAAAAAAAATCAACTCTTACAATGGGAAAGGCGATATATATAATTTATATCTTGTAGAATAATTAGTTATCTTAAAACACTTAAATAACCCGAACTTATTGAACAAGAGAAATGAATTGATGGTTACATGTAGGCATAAAAATATATATCTGCTTAAATAGGTTGATAATTTTAAATAAATATTTTTTAAACGCAATAATCCCCGTTTATGTTTAATATAAAATATAAATCCCAACTTTAAATAAAAATTAATATATCTTATTAAAATATATATTTTTATATAGTTTTAAGTACATCTATTTTAACATATTCTTTTAATAAATACCATTAAACTCTGTTTATTTTAAATATAAAATTAAATATTAATCCCCGTCTTTTTTTAAATATAAAATTTGAATTATATAGTGATCAGCCTCTACCCAGCACCTGAAAATTGCTTTGTGCATGAAACTCCGAGACGTGCTACAGTTGAAGGATATCTACCTACCAACATTCTATATTTTGAATATATACCCCAATACTATATTATATTTATAACAATCTACAACTTTGAATCCACGCACAGCGTGGTGTTGTTCCCATGAGACCCAGAAATTTAAAAAAAGAAAACGTATTGAAAAATTGTGTAATGTTTTGTTCCTGATGATTGGCAAACTCATGAAAACTGTAAACGTAGGTGTATGTGTAATTATTATATATATATATATATATATATATATATATATATATATATATATATATATATATATATAGTTAGTTAGTTTATTCAAATTTAGGTAATCCGTATGGGTAGACCTGAGGAGGATGATATCCAGAGAGATTCAGAGCAGATATGTTTGAATAAAAGACAGACGACGTTAAGATTCCATGTAATAAGCTATTTCACCATAACCCCTTTAACAGGGTTCTGGATCATCAGACTTTACTTCCAAAAGCTGAAATGAAGAATGAAAAGAAAATTCACAGGTTTTTTACGGACCTCATCAAATATACGCAAAGTTAACGAAGTGAGGAAGTGAGGTGGAGGAGAGTGTGTGAGTGTGTCATATGTATCATTTTAGTTTTCTATTTTAACCCCAGCGTGTCGGCTGGATGTTGCTCTAATCTAACGCGTCTCGTCTCTATATACATATACCAAGTATATAATTGGTGTATACGGAATGAATTCCAATAACCAACAATTACTATTCTTAAAACAGTGCTCAATACAAAGTAGAGCAGATATAATTATTTATTTAGAAAATTTATAACATAAACATGTTATAAAATCACTACAAAAATAGCCATTTTGTTTGAACACTCCCGGTGCCTTATCAAGTGATGATGTTGAATGCCACATTCAACATCATCACTTGATAAGACATTTACCGAGTGTTCAAAATAAAACGTCTGATCACGTAGTAATCAGCGTTCACCACCACAATGTAACACTTTACAATATATATATATATATATATATATATATATATATATATATATATATATATATATATATATATGTGTGTGTGTGTGGGTGTGTGTGTGTGTGTAACATTAACATTAATTTATTATAACATTAATTTAAAAAGTGCTCAGTACAAGAGTAGATTTGAACTTATATTCTTTTCGTTCTTTTACATTTTGTGTATATATATATATATATATATATATATATAATTATTTTTTAAATATATGATATATATGCATATATATATATATATATATATATATATATATTATAATTATTTTTTAAAAATATGATTTCATCGCGACACGGAAATTACTATGCTTCGAAACTGGTCATCCGTATTCAAGTTTAATTCCAATATTAAACCTTAACTGTTGGATGACAGTTTCATCCTCAAGCGATGTTTGGAACAACTAAGCAACTCATATATAGTTTTGAAATGGAGGTGTAATCTGGTGTTAGTTTTTTTATTATCAAGGGATCTCTGCTTTGATGAAAGTAGGGGTGTTTGTTATATGTCAATTTGGAGTTTTTTTTTGTTTGTTTGTTTTTTTTTTTTTTTTTTTTGTCTGGCTAAAAATACGGCTTGTGTATCCCATAATTTCGGCCTTGTGGCACATCTAAGCTACGCTTCCTCTCCTACCTTTTGTGGCTGAGATCATTTGGGTATCGTCATTAAAACAGAGCACAAATAAAGCTTACCTGTTTCCCTGGGATCCGTCCGCCTGGAAGCATATTATAGTTTCGGAGGAGCGGGGATCAAGGTTACGCCTTGACAAGTGTGGCAAAAGCCATAAAAACTGCTACACATTAAGTCTACCTTGCGTCACATTTTAATTAGTAGATAGTCAAATGTTCTTTCATTATTCGACATTAAATTGTGAATATTTTTTCTCGTAGATTATTACACTAATTTCTTTGTTAAAGAAATTAATTAAATTTCTAAATTATAAAAGTATTCGATGACTTGTCATGAAATTTTACATGCAAATGAAAGTCAACACAGCCACATTACGTCAAATCACCGGTTTCCGTACGATCACCAAAGTTAAGCAACGTCGAGCCTGGTAAGTACCTAGATGGGTGACCGCTTGGGAATACCTGCTAGTGTAAGCTTGGATGTGCGGGTCTTGTGATGGAGAATGGTTCGGCAATTGTTAACCAGAGAGCCGAGTTCCAATTCCCGTTGGATTCGTTAAATAGCCTTCGGAAAGGTATGAATCCACTTCTTATCCCCCCAGCTATGGGTTAATTTGCAAGATCCATATCACTAAATTGTTATAATCTTAAAAAAAAAAAATTACAATTTAAAAATATATTCTGGCTTTAAATAAACAAAAAAGGGTTGATAAGCTGTAGAAAACCAATCAATAGATTTTAATTTAAAAAATTACATGAATGACACTAACGTGCCAAAAGTCATACTATATATACATAGTATCATCCAGGAATTTCACTAGCCTGCCGAAGTTCACTAAATTTTGCACCAGTCAGTAGATTTCTTTTTATTCAAAACGAAATAGCTTCACGAATTCTGCATAAAACTAACATGCTAAAGGTCCTAAGTTACATACTTAATATCGTTTTGGATCCTCTCAATAATGATATCCCAAATTTCCAGGAACCGATTCTATAAAGGCAGGTAATCTTTAGGAACCTATTATGCAAATTTTCCGTTCAATATGAGAATGGAAAAAGGAATCACTTTATAGTACCAAAAAAGAATTAAACCATTTTGATAATTTATTTAATAGAAACATTCATTTATTAAGATATTTCCACATAGAAATTCTGTTGTCATTATATTTGAGTGACAGAACATATTTCAACTCGGAACTAATTTTACCTCAGAATTAATTTCAACTCGATTTAAAATCAAAGTTATCAATTTCCATGAATTCCTAAACAAAATAGAATGAGTTGGTGTTAATTTTTTTAATTTGGCATTAACAATCCTTAGTAGATAGGATAATTCACAATTCGTCTTTTCTGCAACTTTCATTCTTTTTGTTGCAAATGAATAAAGTGGTATTTTTTTATTTACTTTTATTCCTTTAAATCTCATACAAAAAAGGTATTGTTCTTTGTATCAAGAACAGTAGATTGCTTAGACGTCTTTGTTTTTTTGTGGTGGGGTTGTAAAAAAATCCTTCAAAAGAAGCCTATATTGATCAGAATTTAAGAAAAAATCCGAGTTGAAATTAGTTCCGAGTTGAAATTCCGAGTTGAAATTAATTCTGTACCCCTTATATTTCTGTCCAGAAGTATCATGTTTTTTTGTTTTTTTTTACTCTAGAGTCATCAGCTGTGTTAGGGTTTCTTAGCTAAATTCGAAGTGAATCGCCGCAGTCCCAAATATTCAATCGAAGATCTATCAAATTTATGACTAGAAAATTTGCCACATTTTTAACTACAAAACGATTTCTTTTGTCAGAATAAGTTATATTTATCACAGAAAATCCTCTTTCAGCATCCGCAGAACTTACAGCAATGGCATTAATTATATTTTTAGGTGTTATATATCAGCTATTAATATAAATAGATTATTTTCGGATAACCGGTTCGTTAAGCTTTTATAATTTTAAGAATCGCTTCGCGCGAACCAGTGCAAACTGATAGGATGCCACCAATGGATCCTCTCTAGCCTGGCGAAGTGCTGTATCTTCATGTGACATTAATTCCACAAATGGTCGGAATACCCCTGGAGAAATATTGACCTGTTCATACCTTCCAAATATTTTAGTGAAACTTCTTGCGTGCGACTAGACGTCTCTGTCACTTCTTATAAATTCTCAATTGAAATTATGTCGTGCGAACGTGGGCACATCAATCGTCAGAGGCTTTCAAAATGCTCTTCAAACCAGTTCTGGGCAAACTGGATAATTGTTGGGGAGTACATAGGGTTTATGAATGGGTTCAACTAGTGACGAAACATTACAAGGTAGCGGTTAGTGGTCAATGATATGTTTACGCGGGCGACGTCACTTGAATATATTCTACATCACGATGGAGCGATCACCAGCCTGCACGGCGACAAATTGGTCTCATGGACTTTGTGCAACTCTCGATGACTACCATCAACGTGAAACGACTGGAACCGTGACTCTACACAACATGTTACCAGTGCAACACGGTCCAGTTAGCGGCTTCACAAGCGCAGGTGAGATACTGTGATCGGCGTCTTGGTGTCAACAGTGAAAGCCCGGTGAGTATTTTCTCCCCTATCCAATGGAAACTAAAGGATGCTAAACTATCCTACTGGATATACGTTTGATATCTGATGAGAATTGAACCAGTGTCCTTTATGTACTACCAACGACAAATCTAACTAAACAGTATTGATCATTGTTATTAAGGACCTGTGGGTAAATAATCAGTGCACTCCTATGTGGGCGCTAATGCATTCACGCAAGTATTCCCCCTACACACTTGACACCATAAATGTTAAATATTCTTCCCGTTTCAGCAACAAAACGGCTCATAGTGGCACAAGACCGAAATTATTGTGCGCCCAGT